CTCTCTTCTTTTCCATATTTTCTCAGTCTCTCTTATTATATTTCCGTACACATTCTTTTTCATCATTTTTCTTATTTATTATAAGAGTATATTTAAAATATATATATATATATTTCTAACTTATTTATTGGTTTAAATAATTTTAACTAATTATTCGTTATCTGCAAATTAGTTATTTGAGTCTTATAGTAAAGATTGGGAGGAGTACTTATATGTAATAAATAGATATTATCTTCTTTAAAATATTCTCATCAATTATGTGTAATTACCATAGAGATTACTTGAAAAAAGAGATAAATAATGAGACAAAATGGATTATGGTCTTTTATTTAGATCAAATTATATCTCCAACTAGCTCTTATATTAGGGATTATATCAAAATAAACATATATAGTTTGCAAATATTTATTTTTCCCAGTAAAAAATGGTTTTTAATTAATTAAATAAAAGATTAGAATGAAAACAAACTACATATGAATATTAATATAATAAAAATAAAAATGACAACGGCCACAAGCCACATGCATGTCACCCCCCAAATATGAGTGAACTGTGAAGTATCAAACAAGCTTGAAAAAAATTATTAAAAAAAAGGTTGAAAAAGAGTTGATGACAGGTTATTAATATTAATACGTTTCTACAACATATAACTACTACTTTTATTTCTTAATTTAATTAATAGGGACAATGACAAAAAAAAAAGAAGAAGCTGGAATTTTGTAAATACCAAACAAAAAATGTCAATAAAAATTTGTTGTCATTTATAAATTCAAACTTGTTAATACCAAATAAAGTTGTGTTAGCAAACCTCATTTAGGATTTGCAATTTTCAGCTCTTTTTTCTGTTATTCTCTCTAATTAATAATTATTCAAAAAATTATATAAGCACGTGATCATAATTTTCCAGCCTAATTTTCCTCTATTTCTAGGAATAATAACTTTATAAACTTTTTACGATGACATAATTAACGTGATCAACAAGTTAATTACTCCTTATTTTAAAACTAAGTCGGTTAATTAAAGAAATTGGCTGTAGCCTATAAGGCAAACAAGCGGGAGACAATTAATTTAGTTATTTGTAAAATTGTGCATTGACTTTTTATTATTTGTATTGGATAATATGCTTGACAAAAAAACCAGTTCCCTTAAGTCCATGTGTAATTAATGGAGGAGTTAAAAAGATATATATTTAAGAGTTAAAATAAATGAGTTGAGGTCTTATATTTAGTATTATCTTTGATTATTAATATAAGAACTAGTTGACTAATTTAAATAGATTTAAAAAATTAGTTAAGTTAGTTATTTGTAATAAAAATGTGTTGTCATTCTTAAAATATTCTTGCTAATCATGTGTATTAGATAGAACTATTATTTGATGAAACTTTTAATATGTGCACTACTACACAAACTATTTTTAAAAAAAAAATAAATATAAGAAACAATGTGTATTGGGATTTTATATTTAAAACTAAATTAATAATTAAGCTAAGACTTGTAATGAGAATTGGAGGGAGTAATTGACAGCATGAGTGATGAGAGGCTTGCGATTATACTACCTCTGGTCCTAATTATAAGACCCAGTTGACTTATTTGAGGAGATTAAGGAAGTAAGTTAAGTAAGTTATTTGTAATAAATAAGTGTTGTCATTCCTAAAATATCCTTGCTAATTAAGTATATTGGCTAGAACTATCATTATTAGAAGGATTATCTTGGAAAAAAAATGCATAAATATGAGAGACAAAATGGATTGGGGTCTTATAATTATGACCAAACAAAAAGTTAAACGGAGTTTTATAATAAGGACCGGAGGTAGTATTAAGTTCGATTCACAAGGCGCAAGCCGTTGACGGCATAGCTAAAAGTCAACTATATAATTATAAGGGCAAAAAATGTCAACGGCCATGTACATAAATGTTTCTCAAAATATGTGCAAAATTAAGGGGAACATGTTTAGAAGCAGTGTAAAAAATTTTGCAATTGAAATCTGATGGAAAAAATGACAGAAAATTATTCTTAAATTTGAAAATTCTCCTACAGTCACTTAAATAACGCAATTTGTTTAATCACTTAGGATTAAATATAAATTTTCAAGTTTATTGAAGTGGCCAAATTGTCCTTAGTAATGCCCTTAACAAGTACATTAAATCTATTAACAAGTTTGATATTGTTGTTCACAACAAGTTTTCAGGAAATTTTTTTTTAAAAAAACATTTTTTCAACTTCAATAACATTGCTAACAAGCCGTGTAATGATATTAACAATATGATCTAAGAGCTTGTGACACTTCAAGAAATTAGTCATGAAGAACAAATGGATAATTTTACAACTTTAATAATGTGGTTAACGAGTTTATTAACATTATTAACAAGTATGGAATCACTATTAATATCAGGTTTTTCATGAAATAAAAAAAAAGTGATACTTTTACAATTTGAATGATACTATTAACAAGTTATGCAACGATATTAATAACCGTGTAACGCCATTACCAACGTGATATAAGAGCTTGTGAAACTCTGAGAGATTAATCATGAAATCATAAATAGAAAATTTTATAACTCCGACAACGGGGTTAACAAGTTTATTATTGCTATTAATAATATTGGTATCACCATTGACAACACGTTTTTTAGCAAATTTAAAAAGGTAAGATGATCATTTCAGTGAACTTTAAAATCCTTATTTGATCCCATATGATTAAAAAGAAATTTTCATTATTAAGGTCATTTTTTCTGTAATTTTCCCAATCTAATTAAGGAGATGCGCTCTCAATGAAGGAAGTGTGTGAAGCATGTCAATGAACACACAAACACTATGTGCAAACAGCGTGTTTTTTTAATTTGGTAAATGGTGCATGAATTAATGATTTGGAAAATAAAAATAAAAAGACTAATGAAAATTGGATCTAATAGAATAGGATAGTCTCTCGTAACATCACGAACTGAAATTCAAATTCGTATTAGTATTAGGAGAAATGTCAATATTTAGTGCTCTATAATCTTTCCAATAAATTGCTGTCATTAGAAATACCTGTGCCTAGCAAAAAATTAAAATTGCGTATATGTGGTTTTGGCTAGCTAATTAATCTGGAAATTAAGGAATTAAATGGTTTTTATCAGTGCGTGTTTAAAAGCTGCATATGGATTACTGGAGGCAAATTAGAAAATTACTTGTTTAATGATGAGAGCTCCTCCCATTATTGTCACCCTGAGTGGATTTTATTACTTTTTAATTGAAAATCAAGAATATTTCTTCTATTTACATTATAATATTTTCCATTTATTTATAGAAATAATGATTTTACATATGAATAATAAACCTCATTTGTTGACACAATCTAATTATTAATTAATATCAATATTTTAAAACTTGATTTTTTAAAAAAACTTAAAAAATACTATCATGAGAAAAATTAGACGCATTCCCATTTAAAAAAAAAAAATCGACAATAACTGAAAATGATTTTTTAAAAGAAAAATCTATTTGAACTCCGTTTTATTTTATTTGGTCTTAGAATATCTAATATAATTACGTACACATATCTAATATAAAATTAATCGGATTGATATTTTTTTGCCAACTAATTAATCGGATGGATTAAACTATTTAACGTTTTACAAGTTGTGGTATTATCCAAAACTTACAAGATTTTTCTACCTTAAGATTAAGATTTTGATATCCACTAATTAGTGATTGAACTAAAACTTTGGTGAGAAACATAATCTAGGGAAAATCACAAAAAAAGATCGTAGAATTTGAAAAATTATAGATAAGGATCGAATTACAAAAATTGTTATCAAAACTTATACTATTATTATCAAAACCTATAGTGATGTTATCACGGGTTTTTATTTGTGTTTTTCAAATTTCATGGTTCTTATTTGCGATTTTTCCTGTAATCTATTTATATATGTATAAGGTACGTACCTTTTCAATTAGATTCAGCATTTTGGCCTCTGGGATCCTTTCGTCGTGATGTGGAAAAAAAATCGTCACACAATTCGCAGCAACTTTTGTGCGTTTCTTCAACTTCATTTTCAGTCGCAATGGCCGAAGTCTGCCAGCGGCGACGATCCGTTATCCCGCCGGTGAAAATGAGTACAACGTCGACGAGCTCATGGAAGAGGTCACGAATCAATACTATGCAATGAGGACACTGGTAAGGCAAAACACCGTTGAATCGCTCAAGGAAGCAAAGTTGGATGAGAAATCAAAAGAAGAAGAACAGTGCAGTGTTTGTTTAAATTCTTTTAAAGATAAAGGCGAAGAAGACGATGATATTCTGGCATTGCCGTGTAATCATATTTATCATGGAAAATGTATTGCCAAGAAAGAAGGGAAAATCGCAAAAAAAAAAAAAGAAGGTCAAAATAGAAAAATTATAAATAAGAATCCGTTACAACATTAATATGGGTTTTGATAACAATAGTATGTGTTTTGATAATAATTTTTATGAATAGATCTTTGTGTGTAATTTTTTTAATCTTGACAGTTTTTTGTTGTTGTGATTTTTCAAAGAAAGAAACTTTTTGTTATTGCTAAAGAAGTATAACAGGTTTTTAGATGCATGAATTAATTATATATACTTTTTATTTTACTTATTAATTATATGTTCTTTGATACTCCCTCCGGTCTTAAATCTAAAATACATTTTATAGTATAATTTATATCATAAAATGAGTCATATATTTAAAACCGAAAGAATACTGTTTATCTTGCATGATTTGATGGTTTGTGTGGAATTTGACGGGGAAATCAATTTGCATGATATAGTAAAATTAGTAATCATATTAATGATTTTGATAAGTACGGACCAGAAAAATACGTAGGTGGCGCGTGAGAATGTTAAAACTGTATTAGATTTAAAATTCCTCAATTTAAAACCTGAAGATTTGAACGCTTAAGTGAACCTATGTAAGTATTGAGTCAGGTTGTCCTTTTTTAAAAAAAGAAAAAGAGAAACCATATGATATTACTTAATAATTTTGATTTAATTTAATTAAATCGAAGAAAGAAACTGTTTTTTATTGCTAAAGAAATATAACAGGCTGTTAGGTAATACTTCATTCATGCGAGACTGCATTTACAGCACCAAAGATCAAAGTTCAGGATACATAACTAAGCCAGGATGCCCAAGAAATTAAAAATGGCAGAACTTATTCAACTCTCAACATAACAATAGGCATGTCAATGTAGAGAAGCTATGTCGAACAGCCCTTTGTACTCATCAGCAACATAAGATTTCGTCTTCAATATAGGTTTTCCATCAGCAGTTCCAGGAGACAAACACTTCACCCCAATCACAGTTACCAAACCTGCAAGGTCAAAATCTTATGTCAGACACAAGGATTCGTGCTTTTATTACTATTATTAATTATTAATAATTGACAAACATTAGGAAAAAAACACTAGATTCTTTACAAGTAAAAAATATAGAATTGGATTAGTTTAAAATTAAATATATTTTATTGGATACTATATCCAAGGCTACAAATAAACAAGATATTCTTGTGTATAATAATATCTTGTTTGAGCAAGTTGATAACATAACCAAAAATCTTAAGTTCACCAAATGCATGTCCATAAGAAAGCATTATGACTGTACTCACTCTCATGGACGCGCCCATACACCGGCCTTTCTCCTTTCCAGTATTCCAGAGGCCTTATCCTCATCCTAGTGCTTCGCCTTACCCCAGATTCCCATGATGTGCCAGCCACTAGGAATATACACAGATTACTTCATTGTTCATGCTAACAAAAAGCAAATATTAGTAAATGGGGGAAATTAATAGAGTCCAGACCTGCAAGGCTCTGCCTTCGAGAAAGTCCTCTATCTTTGCGTTTCCGTGATTTAACTTTCCTCTGCTCATTTACTGAAACCTGGGACTTGTCTGTATTTCTCTGTACCTTAAAAGACAACAAATTTTAAGTGTAAGCAGCTAGACTTAGAATGTGTATTCATTAAAAAAACATAATTAACCGCGTTAGAAACGTTAAAGCAAGCACTAGAAATGGAGTCGAGATAAAAAAGAATGCCATAAACTAATTGCCCACGGTTCATGCCGAGAGTGCATCATAAAGTCCTGGGAGGCTAGGACCGCTAAAGTCAGCTTATAAAATCTTGATTCCTATCATAAGAAAGCACATCACTATGGTAATTAAGTCCAAGCGTCTTCTTCCGAAAGATCTAACCAATTATGATTATCATATCTAAAGATGTAACTTCCATGTCCCTTTGTTCCCTTCATAGCTTGAGCAGAACACCTAAATCTTTGTATATTCTTTTCCACTTCGTCAAGAAATCTTACTGTCGTTATGATGAAATAATTAAATAATTAAATCACTAGCAGGAAAATAGCACTTGAACCATCTAAGATGACCAATGCCCTAGGTACCGTCCCTGAACCCAACAGCATCCATTCAATGTAAAAAAAAATTATGGCCGTAACAAAGAAGAAAACTCAGACAATCAAAAAGAAAATACTACTCTTCCGGTCCTTATTATAAGACCCCATTTGACTTTTTATTTGGTCCTAATTATAAGACCCCAATCCATTTTGTTACTTATATTTATGCAATTTTTTCCAAGATAATCCTTCTAATAATAATAGTTTTAGCCAATATACTTAATTAGCAAGGATATTTTAGAAATGACAACACTTATTTATTATAAATAACCAACTTAACTTACTTCCTTAATCTCCTCAAATAAGTCAATTGGGTCTTATAATTAGGACCGGAGGAGTATTAACTTAATTTGCGCAACAAACAGACAGTTAAATTGTGTTCCTAAATCAAACATGCAAATTTAACATAAAATGCTATGATTTTAAAACAAGATGGAAACAGATTAGGCTTCTTCTTCTTCCCTCCCCCCCCCCCGGGGTTCAATCAAGGGGGCAGACGTTCTGAAACCACAAGCAAATAGAATCCCTAGCCTCCCACTTAAGCTTTCACGCTACTAGGCCATGCCATTAAAAACAGATCAGACTGAAGATACAGGAAAGATTCTCTGGGAAGCTAGTTACCTGTAAAAATTGTCCTGGACCATCATCTGAAGTATTGGTGTTTCCATCGCCAGAATTGGCTTCAAAGAGAGCATCTCCAGATTGATCTGATAATACAATGATAACTGAGTTAAACAACGAGAGGCAAATTAACATTAACAATAAATTTGAAAGTACATGCTTTTATGATCTTTAGGTTGACATGTAACTTATTTGCAAGTTATAGTCTTGTTAATTCGTGCAACTAGCAAGTTCATGAAACTCTAATTTTACTGTTATATCCAGTGAACCACAGCAACTTCAGTCAATTCGTAAGATTTCCCCGAAGGCATCATCTAAGCCTAAGTATTTTCCCCCTTACGCTTTCAAAGCACAATCTTACAACACAAGCTCGTGCAGAAGATGGCTGACCAAACAATGATACTAATGATGTTTGGCGTTAAGTTTTTTAGTAAATAGTAATAAATATAGAAGAGCGTTAATTATTAAGTATATCAATACCTTGTGGGTTCACTAAGTTGAACTCCGCAACAGCTGTTTGTTCGGAAGACACTACTTCCTGCACCTGTACCTCGTCATAACAATTGATCTTTCAGATTTAAAACATTTTTTCAGTCACATAAGGTGAAAATTCTATAATCCCAAATAAAAACGTACTTTGCCTGCAGATTCACCAGGTTCATTTGCTCTGCCTATTGTATCACGAGCAATCTGGTTACCCACATCACTGCCTCCAATATCTACCTCCACGTCGACATGAGATATATTTGAGTCAACATTTGTGCCAAGCGCAGTTTCTGTTGAATTATCTACCTCGAAGTTTCCAGTAGTATTGGCACAAGCCTTGACAGTGCCATCCTTAAATTTACAGGGTTCATTTACCTCATAGTTCTTGCTTATTGTGCCATCCACAAACCTGCTACCCACATCACTCGCTCCAACATCTAACTCCATGTCACCATGAGATATATTTGATTCAACATTAATACCAAAAGCAGGTTCTGGTGAATTAACTTCCTTGGAGTTTTGATAAATATCAGCACAAGTTCTGACAGTGTCCTCCATCAATTTATGGGGTTCATTTGCCTCATAATTTGCCCTGCGGGTTGTATCATCCACAACTCGGTTACCTACGTGTGCCTCCATATTAACGTGAGACTTGTTTGAGTCTACATCAGCAGGAAAAGCAGGTTCCTTTGGATTATCTTCCTTCGAATTTTCAGAAGTATTGGCACAAGTTCTGACAGTGTCTTCTTTATGCTTAGAGGGGTCATCATTTACCTCAGAATTTAGCATGCTTACTATGTCATTAATAACCTTGTTCATATTTCTGCCTCCAGCATCTACCTCTAGATCAAGGTGAGATTCATTTGAGTCAATATCGGTACCAAAAGCAGGTTTCCCTGAATTGTCTTCCCCGGATATTCCAGAAGTTGTGGCCAAATTTCTGACAGTTTTCTCCACTGAAATCTGAATATCTTTGATCAAAGGTTCATCCGATTTATCAGATAGCTTCCCATAATCAATGAGCTTGAGTCCATCTCCTGCCGTATCACTTTGAGATGAGTTTCTTACAGACGAATGTGTACAATCAAGAGTGGAAAATGAATCAACAGATGGCTTTGACTGTGAAAGGCGCTTCTGCAATGACGGCAATAAAGCAAATGGACTTTTTGGTGGTGTGGGTGATGCTAATTGCTGCCAAGGGTTTCCTACATTCTGTCTAGGTTTTTCAGGGGTCACACTGTTCATATCTCGAGGCAAATTATCTATGTTCATTAAAGGCTTCCTTGGCTTTGACAACTTCCCTACAAAAGTTTTCAATTCGGTGACTCGGTTTGCAGGCAAGTCTGGAATGGATAACTTCTCCAAAAAAATGGGTTTGATCTGTAGGCTCTCCTGCAAAAGAGTGATTGCTTGATCTTCCTCTAGATCTTCACTGTTATGTAGTAATTCATCCAATATGTTATTGTGGTTGTTCTCTTTCATGGCAGATGAATCTGCAGGGAAATTTCAGCATACAGACAGGGAAGGATCAAATATAAGTATTATTTCTAAGAAATGAAAAATAAGAGGGGGAAAAAGGCACTATTATTGGTTGTGTCAAGGATAATCTCAACTCAAATGTTTAAACTGTTGAGATCCATTAATATTAATAGTTTAATCATGATCTCTAGTTAACAATTTTATTATAATTTCTAGCAAACCATTCAACAGCTTTTGGACTTGAAAAGTGGACAAAACACAAAATCAGCTTCAATTAAAAGAGCCAAGGATCAAATCGCCATGTTAAGGATTATTTCAGCTCAAACCTTAATTGAAGGCCAGCAATAATTAATTTCATTATAGTCGTCAATAGAATGACGACGGCAAGATGAAAGTCAGAATGTCAAACACAAAAATGACATTATTAAATGCCCGTTTCGTTCTAGGAATGGAATTCACTCACTAGCTAGTTCACTCCTCAGTGATGCAGGATGAGCCTCAGCTTTTTCTGGGCTCTCACGGACAGGATCAAGGCCTCCAGATTCATATTTCCCTTGAGATGATGGGATATCCTCCTTCTGACCAGAAGTTTCTATTGAGTATCGATGCTTGTATCTGACTGACCTCCTGACCCAAATAATAGGGGGAATGTTAAAAAAATAAACAGAATAGTCGATTATGTTCTTATATGTATTGTTTGCCTAGTGTCCGGATAGTACCTCTGGTTATTCCCCATGAGTCCTGGGCGACGGTGCCGTGCATTAGTGGATGTATTGTTCTCGTTTGGTTCAAACAATATATTACCCGTTTGCTTCTGTATTTCTCTTTTTGCATCTATGCATTGAGTACAATGAGAAGAAGATCCAGAATACCATACTCTGGGCATATAAAAGAGAAACAAAAGGTGACTTACTTTCTAAACGTTCATGGGCCTTGAAGAATTCCTCTGGATCTTTCAGACTATCAATGTCGACACTTGGTTTCAAAATCTCGCTAAGATGACTGTCAGACAGATGCATCAGAACACAAATTCAAGCCACAGTTATGCATAGTATAAACCCTTTCTTTTTGAAAAATAATAAAAGAAAACAGATTTAAGGAAGGAAATAGAACAGTGGGTTTGTTGGGAAATGCGATACTTTCTATTTGGCTTCAAAGAGAAACGGGCACGCTTGTGGCCCAAGGCTGGCCTCCGTTCTCGAGGATTCTCCGGAACTTCTTCCGAAACAACATAACTTGTCTCACAAGGTGCTGAATCACGGAATACTTCAGAGATGATTGGTCCTGGATTACCATCTACTATGGACTTAGCCTGCTTCAGAAGCTTACTGGGACTTCCCAAGGCCTGGCAAAGCAGTAAAAAAGTTCATATTTTCTTATATTGATAAAAGGTTCTTTCCAATCGCTCTCATTATCCTTTGTCAAGACCAAACATTAATTTTTTTTTTAACAAAAAAGAATTTCAAAATTTTTTTATGTTTGTCTGTACATCATAATGTTGAAACTCATCGCTATCTGTAAAAGCGGTTTCCACTCTCTAATTGCAAAAAGAGGATACGGGAGGCATTTTGGGCAAAGGCAAATGAGGGGAGGTCGTAAAATGTCAAAAATTCAGTAAGGTTTGACAACCATATTCCAGCTTCTATAGAGCACAAAAAAGACGATAAATAAAAAATAGAAGTAAAAAAGAATTTACATATCGATGTCCTAGCCATTTCGCGGTGTTCCGTCAATAAGATAGTCACCAAACTCTAGAGTGCTATACAGTTGGTTTTCCTATGCATTCCACGCTAGAAGAGGCAACAGTTTTCATCAGCTGAGAAGACCGAGTTCAAGAAACTTAGTGTAATTGAACTTCTAGTTTTGTTAAAGTTCCCTCAAGCACTTAAATGCTAGCCTAAGTTTAAGATTGAAAGATAGGAATACCGTGACGCAAAGTTCATTGGCCCCCGAGACGGACTGTGAATTCTTCTGACTAAATTTCAAAATAGGAAAAGACTGAAACTTGAAAAAAAAAAAAAAAGATTAAGAGATTCAAAATACCATGGATCTGAGATGATTGTCGATGGTATCAAGGTCTGCGTCGGGATTATAGGGCTTTGAAGAATCGGGTGGCACGCTGGATGTCTGAGGAAAGAGGGCGAGTCCCCAGTAGTTGGCGAGAGGATCAACTAAAGCAGGACCCTGAGCTTCTCTCGCCATTGATTTATCGAAACATTAAAATGGTTGAAAAAGAATCGAAGTAGATTCCTGCTGAGAAGAACCCTAGGATGACGGGGGTGGAAAGAGGAGGGAATGGTCTGCTTTCCCGTTTATTTCGATTTGAAAACAAGAACGAGCGGGAGCGACATTCCCACTGTACGTGCATGTACAATTTTGTCCCTGCAGGTCCCTTGGGTTCTGGTTTCACGTTCTGGCCAAATAGCGTTTGGATGTTTATGCCCGCGGTGGATGAGGTGGATAAGTGAGAATGAACTACTAGTATAAGGTCATGAAAGACTGAGGGTGTGTTTGGATTAGCAGTAGAAAAGTAATTTTTTTTTTCAATCTGACTTTTACAAACACACCTTGAATTGATGAAAGTTAGTATCCTTAAATTAAAGTTGATAATATGCTAGCCTAAACAAGTTGGAATAAGTACGAGTCAGGCTCAAAAGGTCTGCTTTTTGGAGGATTACAATTCTGTCAACCCAGACTATCCCCAACCCAATTTTTTACACATATATTTTAAAATTTTTAAATTAAAGTACACATTTTTATATATCAAAATTGTAGTTATTTTTTATACTTTCATACAATTATACAATTAAGTTAATCTCAAAACTTAAAAATATAAACACATAATCCATTTTTAATATTTTTTTATTAATATAAAATAATAATAAAAAGTAATCAAACAAATAATCTTTTTGTTATTAAAATAAAAGGCTCACCTCAAAACAAGCTTGCATTTTGCCCACCCAAATGGTGGGTTTGTGGGTTGAGCTTTATTACCACCTCTATCTCAGATTGTTTGAGGGTTGAGACTAATTTTTATCGGCATGAGAATGCTAAAATTAAAACTCTCTTAATAAATACACTTCTAGAAATTTGAACTTATGTTTTTCTCTTTACGAGGATAAAACTGTTTATCATATCAACTAACAGCTTGTTGGTAATAAAAGTTAGGGTTTTAAATAATAAAAAAATTAAGAGTAAGGTCAAAATATTAATTTAAACAATTGCATGTAAGATATTTGTCTAAAATGTAACGTTGGATTTATAATTAAAGACCTAATTGCGTTAATTCGATTTTTCAGATCTTAAATGTCAAGCTCTCAAGAAAAATTAGAAATTGAGTCAAGTGTAAGGAGAACCACTTGTTAGAATGTTTAGATTTGGATGAGAAAAAATTATGTGAAATAATCTGGGTCATTATTATAAGTTTTAAATAACAAATTTATAATTTATATTTATATATAAACCAAGGACAAAGGGAAAAAGTTTACACTGTCCGCGGGAAAATGAAGGGCAAAAACGTGAACGGCAGGATTCGAACCTGCGCGGGCAGAGCCCACATGATTTCTAGTCATGCCCGATAACCACTCCGGCACGTCCACTGCGATGTAGAGGGGCTGCAGAAGGATTATATTTAACTAACTACAGTACTCCTAATCTGTTCCTGAACTGAAGACCGGAACTAAGCAATTGGCGGACAGGTTTACTGATCGCAGCGGCGAAGGGGGAAGAACCAAGAGCGACCCAGACGACTGGTTGGTTTTCCTCTTCATTTTCTCATGCCCCATATCTTCTCAAACACTTATCAGCTCCTCTTTCTGATCGTTCGTGCGATTCATGCATTGATGAGTTTGGTGTTTAAGGTTTCAGCGTTGCGGCTTTATTTGGACGATGCTTCTGACTTCTTAGAGTTATGCAGTGATAATTGATTGTCCAAAATTTGCTTTTCTATTTTATATTAACAGAGAACATTATGTCATGCTTTCTAGTTTCTACTCTTTCCCTCATTTCTCCGAATTGGTTGTACTTAGCTATTCTTCGCGGCGATTTTGCTCATAGTCACAGTTTGAACTGTTATGCTGCTACCAGAAACTAGGAGACACGAGTCCTTGAGAGTGAGAGAGAGAGAGAGAGAGAGATTTATTTAACAAGTTGTACGGCCACCTGATACGTAGTGAAATTGTTCTTAGAATTCTTAGATGTAATGTTAGCTGTTGCTGTCATAGCCAGCAGTTGGTTGGTTGTTAATCGTTATATGCTAGTATATCAGCAAGGTCTTTAGGCTGTAGCTATCTTCATATTGTACATGCAATTGTGCAGTTTTGAGGTCCAGTAAGGTGAATCTTTTTAATACTCCTTTTCGCTTCGATCAGCTCCTGCACAGGTTTCTATGTCGTCCAGAACAGGAGTTTAAGTTCCCGCACTTGGGCTACCTTTCCGTGTATTTTGTCATGTCTAATAGTAAAACAAGTCCAAATAACGCTAATAATAGCAGAGGTTCAAAGCGGAACTTGCCCTCATGGATGACATCAAGGGAAAACGAGAAAAAAAGCTGTGGGGAGAAATCAATGGGGGCTGGTGAGGATGAGAAGTCTTCTGAGTGTGAGACACCTAACAAGAGCAAAGGCCAGGATGAAGGGAAATTTGTCGGGACGACCTCCAAGAAAGCTGAAAATAGTGGAAAATCTACAGCTCCTAGTTTGGAATCAAAAGGCTTCTCTAAACTTCTGGTACTTTTAACAATAAACCTTCAATTGATGAGCTTCATGGGTTTGGCTTTGTATTCATTGTCACCACTGAGGTAATGTAACTTTTAATGGACAGGAAGGGGTAGTTTTCGTGCTGTCTGGTTTTGTCAATCCTGAGCGCAGCATTTTGAGGTCCCGTGCCCTGGAAATGGGGGCGGAGTATCAGCCTGACTGGAACTCGGATTGCACTCTCTTGGTTTGTGCATTTCCAAATACCCCCAAGTTTCGGCAAGTTGAAGCTGATTGTGGAACAATTGTTTCAAAGGTCTACCTCATTATTTGCGTATGGCTAATTCGTATGCTTTCAAAGGTTTTGATGAGTTTCAACACAATCTAAACTTTATTTTCTTCATTTTTGACTGTTAGGATTGGATATTAGAGTGTTATGCCCAAAGGAAGCTTCTCGATATTGAAAGTTACCTCATGCATGTGGGGAAGCCATGGCGTAGAACGGATAAATTGCAGGAAATAGATGAAGGTAATATGGTTTTGTGTGCTATACTTAGAACCTCATGTTTGACTGACATCTAATGAATATAACAGGCTACTTGATAAAGTAAATTTTACATCTGAATGTGTTGCCTTTGCATTTTTAGTATTCCGTGGGAAAAGAAAATTGAAAATTTAAACACTATGCTGGAAATGAAGTATATGGGTACCACTCTTCTTGCCTTTCTCCTTACCAGTTTTTAGAATTTACTGAAATACTTTGTTTTGACCTGTATTATATAAATAATTGAGTTTGCAAGTACTGCTATTAGTTTATAAATTGTCACTTGATGTGACCATTAGAAATTTTTAGTTGCTATTCTTCTTCTTGCCTTAACCTTACGCCACATGATATCTTTTGGAATTTTCTCAAGTAATTGATTTTGCCATTGTGGCCATGTCCTTGTAAACTGAAGGAGTTTTTAAGCGCTACAATCAATCAGAAGTGCAATGAAATGTTTATCCCAAAAATAAATTGGAAAATAATATGGCTGGTGTAAGTTTTAACTGATAAATTATATAATGCATTTCATACAAAATTGAAACTCTCTAGAAATAAAAAAAATTACATATACTTTTTAAAAGGTCATTTCTATATTCATTTTCCTTTTTGGAAGTACATTTAGGCATGGCAATAAACTCATAGCCTATATTTTATATTTATCGAATGTCCCCAGAGGAACCCTATATTTTATATTTAATGCGTTGGTGAGTTGTTTCTCACTCTCTCTCCCTATTAATTCAACGATGCTTGCAGGGCAAAAATCACCCCTCCCCAGCAAATCTGCAAAGCATACTGAAAGAGAATCACCTTCAAAGTCATCCACCTCAACAAAATTAAAGGTAAAAGCTGACCTTTCTGTAAGCTACAATGCTGGTCTCCAAGAATAATAGTTCCAAATTTTAACTTTACATATTTACTAAATATATTTGTATCTTAATTTTGATCTCTATGTTTTGTGACATGCTTCCAGGGAAGTAAAAATGATCCTTTCAAGAAATGCTTTTCTGCTTCTGAAGTGAAGAAGTGGGCTATTGATGACATGAATAGAACAGTTGAGTGGCTGGAGAGTCAAGAAGAAAAGGTTATTAAGTGATCTCTTTCCCATCTTTCTATTGGCATTCTGTAACTTGTCCCTTGCTTGAGTTTGTATCCTTTAAACGAACCGTTTCTTGGTGTTTTCTCTTTTAAATTTTGATTTGCTTTATTAGTTCGTAATATTTGCTCTTTTTCCTAAAGCCTGAAACTCTGCCGTTTCATCGTATGTTTGATTATTATGTTTGCTTAAAGTGATATTTTCCTTATGTTAAAATGCTTTATGACCCTAGATAAAATTTAGTATTCGTTAGGAATTAAGGAGTCCAGAAGCATTTGCTGGAAAGCTTCATCTTTTCTGTCTACTCATTTCATGTGCCATTATTTTTATTTTCTTATGGAAAACTTGCAATGCTAAATGATTGACAGGTGTAACCATCTATTGTTGCAATTAAGTTGTGCTTAAGCTTTTTTCTTTCCTATTTAAAAAAAAAATATAATATCTGAATCTGCCCTTAATTTTATTTTACTTTCTCAGCCAGACCCAGATGAGATAGTGAAAATAGCTGCAGGGGGGATTCTTACTTGTTTGCAAGATGTAATTAGTTCCCTCAAGGAAAAACAGGTTATTCTTTCCTTCTGTCTTTTCTCCCTCTCGAGATGATTTGTTAACTTTGTAATCTAGAATCTTGTTTTCTGGCTTATTTTATGCACTCATATATGTAAGTATAATTAATTGTTTCGTCCATGCATGGATTATACTCTTTTATGCAGCGCTTTCATTTAAAATCCTGTTGGACTCAGAAAAATTTGGCATTGAGAGATATCGAATGCACAGTTCTGTTCTCATTCAATGACTTTCTCTGAGGGGTCGGCTTACACAGAAAATTGAAGTCAGGATCATTAAAATATGGTCCAATACGTTCCCGGCACTATATGAGCGAGAGAATATCAGTGTTTCTTACTGAACAATTTATTGCAATGCTCCTGCCTTGAGGGGGGATAATAGAATAATCCCTTCAAGCTTCAACTATTTTGGAAGAAATGTAAACAAGTCGAAGTGTTGGGAAGTACCATCAAATTATCAAATAGTCAGTTGTCAGACAAGAATCACAAGATTTAGGCTACATTTGATTCAATGGAAACACGGCACAAGGAAAGGCAAAGAATCGGATTTCATGGCCCTTTCGTTCTGGAAAGCCATACAAAAAAAATTTTCCACGATTTCATGGACGAAATGTTACTATGCTTCAGGGAAAGCATGGTCAAATTCCAAAACTCTGCCAAGCTTCCTTCTTTTATATTTTTATTCTGAAAGGAAGTTCAGTATTTTACGCTTTATTTATCTTCGTTCATTTTTTTTTTTTTATCCTAATGAACTTTTCTCAATAAAATATTTTGTTTCTATCTACATGTATACCAAGCATCACTTTTCAGTATTTATATTTTATAACAGAGCTTTATGTTTAATAGCTTCCTCCTTTCTCACTTGAACATAAGCATTATTTGGTAGCTCACATTTTCCCAATAAAGTCATTATTATGATCTAACCCATTTTACAAGTTGCACGTTTGCCTGCCTTTCGTCCCTACCTTGGGGAGTGGTTGGAATTCTTACTGTGTAACTAATAATAATAAGAAAATCTGCTCACTAGAGTGCATAAGACTGTTTCTTTGAATCCTGCTCTCTCCTGCCTGAAATTTTCCTTGCTCCTTTCTTCTCGTCTTTTATGGCCCTTGCAACATATCATTGTACTTGAATGCTCACAATTGGATCTTTCATGTATGTCCCTTTTAGCTCAACTTTCTCAATTTATGTCACTGACTTTTCTGTAGATTTGTAACGTATAACTTGCTAGCTATTTTTGTAGCTAAAACTTGCCTGTTAATTGATTTTGGCCTTTTGGACTTACTAAATATTATCATCAGGATGTCCGCAAAGCAACTGAGGACTGGAACTTCATTCCTCGAGTCGTAGAAGAGCTGGCCAAATTTGATGTTTCAGGAAACAATACAGCCTCGATATCAAAGGAAGATTTACGCAGACAGGCTCTGGAGTGTAAACGTATTTATGAGGTGGAACTTGACAATTTTGATGATAGACGGAAAAAGAAGTCAAAGGGAAATGAAGAACAGACTAGCAGAAACGAAAGAACAAAAGCCAATTCTGCTGGTGTACCCGCATATGACAGTGATGAGACAATTGAGATGACTGAAGAGGAAATAGATCTTGCATACAAGAATTTGGCCTCTACAGTATGTAAAACCTGATTGAATCTGTCACCTCGAGGATCTGGGGCTGTTATGTGGGCTTAACTGGTTTTCAGCAGAACTTTATACTTGAGTGAAAAATTGAATAGATGGAAAAGGCTAGCTTTGTGTTTGGGTGGCCTCTGTTTTTTCTTTTAGTTGGCCTTGTAATGTTCCAATTGTATCTCCTACCTCCGGACACAAGTGTTATTTTCCATCCTCGATTCTACCTCTTAGTGGTTAAGGTGCAAAGCCCTTTCAGTTACAAATCCTCGTATCGTTCAGAAATGCATATTTCATATTCTTCTATCCCTACGCCTTAACCTTTTGATATATTCATTTCATTTTTCACGTTCCACTTCAAAGCTAAAAGGAACAAGAGGCCAAGGGATGAAAGATATGAACTTGTATCTTAGATATGAAGGGTAAAGATGCATAGTTGAGGTGTGTCTGTGGCGTCCATGCGCAGCGTCTTGGACCTCGTATTTTTGTCTATTTGAAATTGGAAAAGTATTTTTACTCTTCTTTTTTACTGATTCAGGTAAGTTTTATCTTTGAAAAGTGGGATAACTATTCAGAATTACGTCATGATAATAATATTTTTGAAAGATAAGCTATGTCACCATGCAGATAACATCTCAATAATGATGGCAAACATTGAAAATTAAAAGGATGGAATTAATTGGGAGTATTATGAACTAATTTGGACGTGTGCAATTTTAAAATTTGTGATGGTGAAAGAATAATGCGATGTCAGCAATAAACTTGTGTGTAGATAATTCAATGTCTTAATCAAATTTTTTTTTGAATATGTTTATTTATTTTTATTTAATCTGTAAAAGTTATTAATGAGATAGTGGGGTTTATACATTATAAATGTGAGTGGTATGCACTGTAAGTAGCACTGTTTATAAATTTTTGTCTCACCTGATTTGTGGATTCTATTGATTAATCAAATTTCGAAAAAAAGGGTAAATTACGACCTGATTGAAAAAATAATAGATTTTTTTGGCCAAACAAAGAAAATAATAGATTGAAACCTGAATTTGATAGTCCAAAGTTATTACTGTGGAAGTTACTCTAAATTAGACAGCTATTATAATTTTTTTTAATTTTTCACTATAAATTTTAGGTAAACAATAATACAAAAGAATACATATTATTTTATGATGAACTTCTTTTTTTCTATGGATATGATGAACTTCCTATAAACTTATTATGTATATGAATTTATTTCTTTTATTATTTACTTATTTTCTCTTCAAGAATTGCGATAAAAAGTTCAAAGAATGTTGGAGAGAATACTTGATCAACATAATAATGCTGCATATCTTTTATTTTTTATGAATTAACAAGGGTGCACTTGGAAAAAAAAGACAGAGAAATTACTGCATGATTTTTGTTTATGAGGGCCTTTTTCTGTGGTGTAATTTTGTTTATTTTCATTTTTTCCCCCATTAACTATTTTTTTAAGGCTGTAAATTGCAGAGAATTTTCGGTGTGGCACCCATGGAATCCCCCGCAATTGGAAGGTCAAATACGCGAAGCAGCATCTTGGAGTGGCCACACGCGCAAACCCTCTTTAACTCTTTACATTTACAGCATTCTCGTTCTCGTCTCAGCTTCTTCTTCACAGTAGGGTTGCTGATAAACGCCACCATTCTCTGTTTTGTCGCACTTCCCCTTCCTGACGCTTTCTTCTGCTTTCTCTTATAGCCATACAGCCCAACTCACTTTCTCTCTCCACCGTAATAATGGGTGCTTCTCTGCCCCCTAAAGAGGCCAACCTCTTCAAGCTTATTGTTGTAAGCAGCCTTCGATTTTCTTCCTTTGTTTTTCATTTTCTGTTTATTTAGATTTTTTGATTGCCCCTCGTGGCTTGATCCAAGTTTCCTCACTTTCTCCTACTTTCTCAATTGCTTTGCCATCTTAAAACCCTAGATTCTGTTATAGGTATAATTAGTTTGTTACGGTTTATTTTGTTGCTGTGCAATGAAAGGAACTAATTTGGGGGTCTCCTGTTCAGTTATGTGGTTTTGTGGTATTGTAAGGTCGTCTAAATTTAGTGCCAGTTGAGATAAAGTTTTGTACTTAAGAATTTGAGCTTATTGCCTTCTCTATATGTTAGCTTATCCAGCAACTATTGAAAGCAGGAAGCTTGAACGACTTTCCACTTAATCAGTCTAAGTGTGGGGGGCTTATTCTTGTCAATGTGCCTGCCTAGACAACCTAATTAAATCTCGTGGTCATATCATGCATAACGAATATAATCAAATTATATATACTATGTATAGTGGAGAAAATTCCTTCGGATATGGTTGGTGACTGTTGTTATTATACTTTGCAAATGCTTTATCTACCTCTTAAAAAGGTGAAAAAAGAATTAAAGAAAAGACGAATTTTAAGTGAATTTATTGCTTGGGAAGATACTGGGTAATGCTCTTATTACTATTTCATGGACGGGATTGGGTTTCTTGGGATAAATACTGGTGCTTTAACCTTTAGATTTTATTTTAAAAAAAAAAAATCGATGTGTGAAAGTTCATGTTCGTGACCAAGGATATAAATAGATTTTGTTTATCTTTTCATGTTCATGACCAAGTATATAAATAGATTTTATTTATCTTAGTCATCAGGATATCTTTAGGCAAGGGGAAATACGTTTTTTCCTCATGGGTAACTGTTGGTTTGCGCTTATTATTCTTTACTTGTGTTCCTGTAGAAATCCTATGAAACCAAGCAATACAAAAAGGGGCTCAAAGCTGCTGATTCCATTTTGAAAAGATTTCCTCATCATGGAGGTGAGCATTTTGGTGTATTTCTCATGCTCTCACTTCTGGCCTGTAAAAAACTCATTATCCTTTTAAATGACTCAACGAAACATAATTTTTAATACTTTGTCAAGTTTTACATTCTTCATCTCCTCATACTCATTAACAGCAGACTTCATTAGATTTTTCTGACCATCTCCTTATTGTGTCTGATCCACCTTTGGTTGATAGAAACTTTATCAATGAAGGGTTTGACTTTAAATTGCATGGATCGTAAGTCTGAAGCATACGAGCTTGTTCGTCAGGGACTAAAGGTCTTCTTTTATCTTTGATTATACACCCTTAACCTATTTCCATTCATTGTCAGATAATCCAGCTTAATTTTTTGTTCTGGTGCAGAATGACCTAAAAAGTCACGTTTGCTGGCATGTTTATGGTCTGCTTTATCGATCAGATAGAGAATATAGGGAGGCAATTAAGTGCTACCGAAATGCACTGAAAATAGATCCAGACAATATCGAAATTCTTCGTGACCTGTCACTCTTGCAGGTAGCAATTTAATGCCTTTTGCCTCATTGCTTAATTGTAGCATTGAAACTCAAATCCTCCTTCTCTCTTTCAACTTTAAATTGGGTATTATTTTTTCTGTCATAGCCATAGTTAGGAATGTGACAATTTCAACTGTTTTGTTTCATCAATTTAGAAAATTCTGTTCTTGCTATGATGATTACTTCACTAGCCTTTTAGATTGTGTTGTCAATTATACTATGTTAATGCCCTTTTGTTGTCAATTTAAATTCATCTCTGGATAAAACTGTGTTGTATTACGATTTTTATCCATGGCTTAAATGTGTTAGATTAGTCAGTTTGGTGGGCGAACATGTCTTTCTATTTGCAAAATTTTTGCCTTTTTTTTTTTGTTTTCTTGAATGAAGAATTATACAAGCATAGTTTCATAAACTCCAAAGGATAGCTGCCCAAAAATTTATATGGCTTTACATCTGGCAACTGTACCCTGTTCGTTCAGTCTGTAATTTATGGGACTCAGCTAATCTATGACCGAGCAAGAAGTAACTAGGCGATATGGTTAGATACTGGAAGTATATTGAGAAGCATGGCAAAAGAGGAAGAACACATTAATTGAAAGTCTAAATTCATCACATTCTAAAGGGGCCAAAATTAACCCAGCTTTGCAATAGTGAGGTCATGAAAAAGCCATGCTTTGAACTGTATGGAATATTTGAAGTTCAAAATAGTTTTCATAAACTTGTAATCTGAAGTCACTGCTAAATTGATCCGAGGAGATGAGATGAGGCGAAGGTTAAGACCCTTAGTTCTAGACTGACCAGTAAACCCAACCTCAGTTTTAATTATATTAGACCATTGATTATTGAGGATCATTTCATTCTGAAAGCCTAAGGTGTTAGGAAAAGGCCTAAGAATGGTTATATTACTATCTCTAACAAGCCATTTAGCAAGAAGCACTATAGCCTTAAGCATGGGCGTAATTCAAGCCCACCATACATGGTGCTGAAATTTATTTAAATTAGAAGGATGGTGGCAACGCAAATTGAACTCTTCACTACTTATTTATAGAGACTTTGATATCATATCAAGGACCTTTTTATCCTAAAACTTAAGCTATCAGAAGGCCCATTAGTGGTTTATCAAGTACCAGCTGCACGTTCTTCCATTGGACCAAAATAACATCTTTGATGTAGATTCGTTCTCTTAAATGTATCTTTATGGTTTGTTTATATTGTGAATTATTTGGGCGTTTGTTGTTCTCTCTCATATTGTGGTTTTTTCCTTACTCATTTTCAGGCTCAAATGCGAGATTTGAGTGGCTTTGTTGAGACAAGACAACAACTTCTGACTCTGAAGCCAAATCATCGCATGAACTGGATTGGCTTTGCTGTTGCACATGATTTGAATTCTAAGTATTATTTCATTCCTTAGCTTTAAGTGTTGGTATCCATTAGTTGCTTATATTGTTCTGTTTCATTTATATTTCCATCCTCTATAAAGATGAGGATTGCAAGTCCTGCTTCCCTGCCCGTATGATTATGCTTATGAATGCATTATACATGTATGTCCTAAAACAGATGGAGTCAGCTTATTATTGCATTCATTGAAATTAACTTATTTATTAAAAATTCATGAGAAACAGTTTTTTTTTTCTTTGTTACATGAAAGGGTTTGAACTTTGGGTCTCTACCTACACCCCACCCTGAGAAACCGGCTTTGATGAATCAGAATTATTTTTCATTGTGCAATAGAGGCCACTAGTTATATGCCATTGACCATTTAACTAAATTAGGCTGTGTAATTGATCATATCTCTGTTTCTTTAGTTGCAATGCCATCTGTTGTCCTGGATCATTATGAGTTTCTTAAAAGAATCCCATGTAACTTTCCTCCGATTTATTGGTGGATTGCTTTGAGAATAGGTTGGAGAAAATTGTTGCTCTGTTTAGCCAAAAGATTCTTTAATATGGTAAAGATGTAGATATATGTATGAGAGAGATCTTTCATTTACTTCACTGCCGTAGCTTGGTTTGAAGGCTTGGATTATGTTACCAGGGTCTACACTAGCTTTGCTTTATTAATTGTTCATTGATTTTGTATTTCTTTGGTAGTCTTTTGTTCTGACTTATTTTAATATGTAACAGTGCATCCAAGGCCGTTGAAATTTTGGAAGCTTACGAAGGGACATTGGAAGATGATTATCCTCCGGAAAATGAACGTTGTGAGCATGGGGAAATGCTTTTATATAAGGTGTTTCCCCTTTGACATTATCTCCACCTGTTTCTTCTTTAATGTCATTTCGCATATTAAGCATTTGAGCTGTATTTCACATTAAGCCAGTGAAAGTTTTAACTGTCTTTTACTATTTCATATTAAATTTTGTTTATAATATGCTATATGCATTTTGAAACTGTGTGAGAGGATTTTGGACTTTGAACTATTAATACTAAGTTATTAACCAGTGAATTCTGATGGAACTCTGGAATTATATCATGAACAAGAATACCCATGTAACTAACATCAATGCTTAAGACAGCCAACCATTTTTACTAACCCAAGCAGCAACCAGATAAATTATATCAACGTGTAGTCAATTTTCTGGTTGATGCTAAGTGAAGTTTATCATATTTTACAGCTTTTATCAATTCGTTCATAAGATGTTTTTGTAATAGTATTGTGAGTGAGTATCCTTTGATATTATAGCCATTATCCTCTGTGATCTTTAGAGGATAAATGGACTGGCTAATCAAACACTGGAAATATGTGGTTATTCCAAATGGCAATATGAAATGTAAATCCTTTTGCTGTCAATTCTACATCTGGATATTCAAAAATAATAAACCTTTCTAGTGGTATTAATTTTGGTCTTAGCATTGATTTGAAAATGTATTTTTATGCGATGGTATTTTTATCCAGATCTTCTTGTTAGAGAAATCAGGATTGCTTGAGAGAGCTGTTGAGGAGTTGCACAAGAAGGAATCAAAAATTGTATGTATGTTTATTTCCTGGTTTAGTTTTATGATATAAGTGTAGGAGAATGGAAGGTTAAGTTGTTTGTCTTTGTGATCTTTTTAGGTTGATAAGCTTGCATATAAAGAACAAGAGGTATCTCTTCTAGTCAAGCTTGGTCGCTTAGAAGAGGGCGAAAGGCTGTACCAGGCCTTACTCTCTATGAATCCTGACAATTATAGGTGATCTTTCTGGCCACTTAGTTTCTTTGTTGAACTTTCTTTATTGCAAAGTCTGTCAAGAACTTGTACCTTTTATGTTTTCCTCTTGCTTTTGTCTTCTTTTGCGCCCTTCTATTTTCCTTAGGGGTTTTGTGTTTTTGCATATTAAGGTTCTGTTTATCTTGTTCCAATTGTCATTACTATGCATCTGTCATGCTTTGAATAAATTAAAATTAAACATCACTTTGCACTGATATGAATTGTTATCTATTTGATGGCGCTCAATTGGGATTGGGTACTCTTCCCCAAAAGGTAGCTATTGAGACGGAAGAACCAACCCTCTTGAATACTTCATAGGACATCTATTACTAGCTCAATGTTGGACTTAGGCATCCCATGCTACCTTAATCTTCATCACAATTCTTTTTGTTACAATATGCTGTCTGGATTTTATAAAGATAGATAATACGGTTTATAGAAACCCCGTTTATCTTTGAGGCTGTAAAGAATAATCATGTTGGAATACTTCTGTGGGTGATTTAATCAGACCATTTTAGGGGTCTTATTCTTTTCATTTTCTTTTTGCTCATGGGAGACGATCTTTTTATGGATGTTCACCTCTCATTTACTCTGGTTTAGACTTTGGAGTCTCTAGTTCATTTGTAATTTACATTTACATAAGCTTCTATATTCGAAAGCAGGGTAAGTTGTAGCTGCCCGTGAACCAGTTTTGCTCAATAATTGATAAAAGGAAATTGAACTTTATCTGTTTAGGATTATACAACTGTAATTTGGTTTTATTTGACAGAGTAATATAGTTTATCTAGTCTGAATAATTGTGGACTTGTGGAAGCTAAATCTGTTTCTTTTGCTTCATATTATTATTCAGATACTATGAAGGCCTTCAAAAATGTCTTGGATTATATTCAGATGATGGCCATTATTCTCTTGATGAGATAGAACGGTTAGATGCATTATACAAATCACTTCGGCAGCAATATAAATGGTCTTCTGCTGTTAAGGTAACGGTTTATGCTTTTGTTTTTATATACTCTTCTTTAATTTTCTTTAAGATGGTTCTGTCCTGTATCAAAAAAAAAACAGTAGCTACTATTTTCACATATTATCTGCATGAGGAAGGATATTTTCATTTGCGTCCCTGTTTCAGGTTTCATGTTGCATGTATTTTCTGCATTTTCAGTACCCCGTTTAGCTTTAATGAAAAGCCTCCTCCCCAAAAAAAAAAGGGAGAAGAAAAACAAAACCATTTCGTGCACAAACACTTCATAGAAGGCCAGGATTTCCTTTTACCATGCTACATGACAGGAACTTGGTGTGTACCAGAATTGAAATATCTCTTAGCATGAAAAGTGAAATTATCATGAGTGTTTTTTGTCTTTTCCATGATTACTGTACGAAATAGATCCTGGTTTGATGGTTATTATGAGGGAAAACTGTTTAGAGATAATTTTGACTGTATCATCTATCAAAGAATACTGGTATAGTGACATGGTTTTCCAATAATTTTAACAATGAACAATCTTATTGAAGTATCCATATTTTAGAATGGAACTCATTCTCCATTGGATCTGTATATGTGCGCCAGAGAATACCACTTGATTTTCTACAAGGTGAAAAATTTAAAGAGGCAGCGGATAATTATGTTAGGCCACTCCTAACTAAGGTATATGCAGCTTTTATTTTTTTAATAATATACAACCTCTCCTCGTCTAGTACCGTCAAAACTACTTGACATTTCCTGTTGGGTACTTTCAGGGGGTTCCATCCCTGTTCTCTGATCTTTCTCCATTGTACCATCACCCTGGGAAGGTTAGTTTTATCACTTCTCTGCTAATACTAAAAGATTTTGGAGCATCTTAAGATTATAATATAATATGCTAGTAGAAAATTTTGCTTCCTTTCGGCATTAAAGTATATAACCTTCTTGCCTCTAACAGGCAGACATTCTGGAACAACTTATTCTGGAGCTAGAGCATTCAATTAGGACAGCTGGTCAGTACCCTGGGAGGTAAGAGAAGCCTCGTAACCACTGTGCTGTAGCACAAGAATTATAAATATGTGTAGCAGGTTTGGTTGGCATTTAATGTCTCTTATCAGGAAATCCATTCGCGAAGATAGAGTTATACTAACGGATATTTAGAATCATTATGGACTAATATGAGAATGACAACCTGTTAAAGACCAACAGGAGCATTGATTTTATGTCTCTGATCATATAATGTTTAGGTTTAATCTTTTACGAATTCTGTGAGACAAATTAACGTACATGTCAAGGATAGCTGCATGTTAAAAAGATGGACACTTTTGCCATGACATTCCACGTATAAAATGGTTTCAAATTTGGACAAGGGAAATTGTGTGCAAATTATGTGGGCTGAGCTCTGAAATGGGATGTTGAATGCAGAGACATGTAGCGTGTCGCATAGTTTTATCTGAGTTTTGGTGCTTAGGAGCTTTTCTCTTCTACTGAATCCTAACCATAATTTATCGTGTACAGTTTAGAAAAAGAGCCCCCTTCTACTCTAATGTGGATCTTGTTTTTATTGGCTCAGGTTGGTAGCCCTCTTTTGGACCCTTTTCAGATGCATTTTCAGTGCATCTCTCCATTTTCTTTACTCTTCTGAATTTTGAATTTATACTGTTACAGCATTATGATAAACGGGGCCAACATGAAGTTGCTCTTTCAAAAATTGATGAGGCTATAGAACATACGCCTACTGTTATTGATCTATATTCTGTCAAGGTTTGTTCATACTTTTAATGATTCTTGTTATATTCACCTTTTTTTTTTTTCGTGAAATAGTATATTCATGTTTTAGTCTACTTAATTTTTGCATAAATCCTTCTGTGATATTATAAAACTTTCTATTCTATTTAATGGAGTATGACAATCAAAATTGTGTGCATGGGCTGATAACTTTTAGCCTTCCTGCACTCAGTATGAACATGTTACCCAAGTCACTTTTGCTTTTCTTACCTGTTAAACTCTTACTGCTATGCTATATGTAGCAGTATAGTGAAAAAACGCTCGAATACCAGATGCTTTTGTATTTCTTCCACTGCATAAGTCATAATTTCTACAGATCATATCTACACAGAGAGATGTATGTTTCGGATTCTTTGGAAATTACCAAGTTAATATTATTAGAAAAAAGGCTCTTCTATAATGGATAAAAAAAAAAAAAATCTTAATCAACTGAGAAAAATAGAGAGGTAAAGTGATAACATCATTAGTGAGCTGATTTTGAGCTTGATGGCACAGATGAGTGATATTGAATTAAGTCAGTAGTCTAGGTTAGCATCGTGGTGATGCTTCCTTATTGTCAACAGTATACATAAAATTTTGTTGAATTGTTTTGTATTTCTTTGTATACCAGAGCCGGATACTGAAGCATGCTGGTGATTTGGCTGCTGCTGCTGCATTTTCAGATGAAGCTAGATGCATGGATCTTGCTGATCGCCATATCAACAGTGAATGCGTTAAGCGCATGCTGCAGGCTGATCAGGTTTTCATCTTTCATATTATTTAATCTGAATTGCATTCACACCTGCACTGTGTTAGTCAATAAGCTTTTCTTTTACTGTTTCTTACCACTGAATTGACATTTTTTGTTGTTACAAGGTGGCTTTGGCAGAAAAAACTGCTGTTTTGTTCACAAAGGATGGGGATCAGCACAACAATCTCCATGACATGCAGTGCATGTGGTCTGTATCTGATGATGTGTAACATTGGGTGCTATCCAAAGGATAGTGTTTTTCCTTATTTAATGCCTTTCTTATCATGTATCTTTGAAAGGTACGAGCTCGCCTCGGGGGAAAGCTATTTCCGTCAAGGTGATCTTGGGCGGGCACTCAAAAAATTTTTGGCAGTGGAGAAGCATTATGCTGATATTACTGAGGATCAATTTGATTTCCATTCATACTGCTTGAGGAAAATGACTTTGCGGACTTACGTGGAAATGCTTGCATTTCAAGACAGACTGCACTCGCATGAATATTTTCATAAAGCAGCAGCTGGAGCTATCCGGTGGGTAAAATGTTGTTTGGGAAAATCCCGAAAAAATACCTCTTGAATTTCAAAATCTCAAGTTAGAAATTACTACAAATGTGTTGTCATTTGCTTTTCAAGTGTAGTCAATTGCTATTAAAGTTTAGTAAACAAAACTAATTTAGAATCTTACAATTCTAGAGATATTTTTTTTGGGATTTTCTCTTGTTTTTTCTTCCCTTTTCTTTTGTCTTTTCTTCTCTTACTTTTATTTCTGGTATGAGTTTTAGACAATCCTCACCTGGCAGCTTAAGCTATTTTAGTGATTTGGATGAGCCCAAGTACAAACCCCTATAAAATTAACATGGTACTAGAGCACTGGAAGAAAAGGGCCTAACTGCCTTCTAGGTTCAAGAACATGAGTCCAGATAATGAAGAAAAAATGGAACACAGGAGCCCAGGCAAGATAAAATTGGACCCATACAGTAAGTCGACTCAAAAAATATTGTAGGACCTGAGGCCCTTGAGATTCCAAAAACACAAGCCTACTCTGAATAAAATTGGGCCCAAGTGATAACTGGATTCAAAAGGAGTCAAGTACAGTTACATTGGAGAGTGTACGTAAATATCATTTTCACATCTAAAGGCCGTAAGAAATATGAAGGCTACGTAAAATTGAGGCAGTCTTTACCAGTTAGCTCAAAGCTATTTTGGTGATATGGATGAGCCCAAGCACAGGCCCATACAAAACATTAATAATTGTCTAGCACATTCAAGAGCTCTTCATTCCTTTAATGTTTTAGATACAAATTCTTCTGCTCCAATGCCCATTGGGAGGCTGAAAGTGCGATGGGTTATAGTTTTGTTACTAATTTCATTAAACAATTTATTTTGAGTGCTACAAAAGTTCGGCCTGAATGAAAGTCCTGCTTTTATGGCAACTTCGTGACAAATGAAATGCAATTTTGATGCACTACACTCACTGGTTTTGTATATATTGTCTCATTGATGTTAGATTCTTTGCTGCAGATGCTATATAAAATTGTATGATTCTCCTCCAAAGTCTGCAGCTGAGGAGGATGAAGATATGTCCAAGTTGCTTCCATCTCAGAAAAAGAAGATGAGGCAAAAACAGAGAAAGGCAGAAGCACGTGCTAAGAAAGTATTGTCTTTTCTATAGCTTTTGCTGAGCTTGTTGTTGGAACCCCTCTTACCTATTGAATTATTTTCCTTTTAGGAGGCAGAAGAAAAGAATGAAGAGTCAAGCACCAGTGGTGTATTGAAGTCTGGAAAGCGGCATGTAAAACCTGTTGATCCAGATCCACGGGGTGAGAAGTTGTTGCAGGTTGGTTTTCAATACTTGTAGTGCCCACTGAGATTCACATTTTCATTTGATGTTTGGTTTGGCTCAGGCCTATTTTATAATTCCTTTCCTGTCTCATTTGCATCTTGCTTGCACTTAGGTTCAAGATCCCCTCTCAGAAGCAACAAAATACCTGAAGTTGCTGCAGAAGAACTCACCCAATTCATTGGAGACACACTTGCTAGCATTTGAGTTGTATATGAGAAAACAGAAGATTTTGCTTGCCTTTCAGGTTTGCGTTAAAAAAGAACTCAACTTTATTAGGCATCTTATTCGTTCCGTTATTAGGCTTGTACTTGACCTGCATTGGACGTTGAGGTTCTCTTCTTGCTATTTAAAGCACATTAGATGGGTCTGTGGGAGCTCTTTTTTTGTTTTTTAATTTAAAATGATTAATAAATCCATCATGGAATTAATGTAAACATTGCCGATACCAAATTTCATTCGTGGGAGATAATTGAAGTAATTTTAGTTCATTAGCATGTTGGTGTGATGCTGCCTTTATCATTGTACAATTTGATGCGATTTCATTTGACTTGTAGGCTGTGAAGCAGTTGCTGAGATTGGATGCTGAACACCCTGATTCTCATTGCTGCTTGGTATGGTATCCCTTCTGAAGTTAGGGGATTAATGGAGTTTATCTTTTTAATGTATGATATATTAAAATGATAATATAAATTGAAATATCTGATCATGTGTGCTGTAATCCGTGGCGTTATTGTACTTCTCACATATATATATCTAATCTATATATTGTCATATGCATCGTGAGGGGGGAAAAAAAGTATTCTTCCTTATTTGTCACCAGGTTGTTACCCCGCCCCTGGTTTTCCTTGTGCAAAATTCTGAAATGTCTTGTTTTCTTGACATTTTCTGTTTTTATCAACTGCCTGAAGAAAAAATGATCATTTTTCTGCTGTCTGCTGCAGATTAAATTTTTCCATAAAGTGGGGTCCATGAATGATCCAGTGACTGACAGTGAGAAACTCATATGGAGTGTTTTAGAAGCTGAGCGCCCTACTATTAGGTTCTCATGTTCACTTTATCTTTTTCATATATATGGAGCTAATGTATACAATTATCTTGATCCGGTTGTCATTAGATCTAACTCTTGTTTATTCCTTCTGTATAGTCAGTTGCATGAGAAATCTCTGGCCGATGCAAACAATGCTTTCCTTGAAAAACATAAAGGTCGTAGTCAATGCTATTGTTACCAGTTATGGCTTATATTATTTGGGTTAATATCATTGTTATTCTTTATAATTTGATCAGATTTTGGTTTTGATCACGTAGTTTCAAATCATTGGTCTTAGACCCTATGGGCTATAGTTTCATAAACATTTGGTCTGAGTTTAACAAATAGTCCCTATACTTTAAATAAGTTTTGGTTTTGGTCCTGAGAGTTTGTGTGCAGAAAAGCTGTATTTTATTCCACAGATTTGTGCGATACATATAGGGAGAGGAGTGATTCAGCATATCGCATGAAATCCTCCAGATTTAATAAGGAAGCAAAACAGGAAATAAATATATTCTGTAATCCCTAATTTAGCGCCCAAGGATCAGGTCTTTAACGGTTAGTAAATCAGTATACATAGCTGTAATGATTCTTGGTTTAATAGGATGATTGGGCCTCTCCCTAGGGCCCATTTCCGACACTCCCCCTCAAGTTGGAGAATAGATGTTAATCATTCCCAGCTTGCTAGTCAACTCGTCAAACTTGTTCTTGATCAATGGTTTGGTCATCACATCCGCAATCTGTCTTCCAGAGGGAATGTAGGTTAGGTCGATCACTTTAGCTTCAATCTTTTCCTTGATGAAATGACGATCAATTTCAACATGTTTTGTTCGGTCATGTTGGACAAGATTGTTTGCAATCTTGAGTGCAGCCATATTATCACACCACATTTTAATTGGTGCATTTATTTCTATACCAAGTTCCCTTAGCACGTGTACTACCCATATCCCTTCACAAATGCCAAGAGCCAGAGCTCTATATTCAGATTCAGCTGAGCTTCTTGATACAACTGGTTGCTTCTTGCTCCTCCAAGTCACAAGATTTCCCCACACAAATGTACAGTATCCAGTAGTAGAACGTCGGTCATAGATAGCTCCTGCCCAATCAGCATCCGTGTAGACTTCTATATCTTTGTCTCCCTCTATGCTGGAGTTTCTTTTTGTACCATCTGTATAGATTTCTACATTTTTCTGTCCACTTTTAGCAAAATACAGACCTTTACCTGGAGTAGTTTTAAGGTACCTGAGAATTCTTTGTACTGCTTCCATGTGTTCCTTTTGGGGGTTGCTTGCAAACTGACTTACTACCCCTACTGCAAATGAAATGTCTGGCCTGGTGTGAGACAAGTAAATTAGCTTCCCCACTAGTCGCTGGTACTGTTCCTTGTTAACTGATTTTCCATCAGGTTTGACTTCCAAGTTACAATTGAGCTCCATAGGGGTCGCAGCAGGTCTGGCTCCCACCATGCCTGTTTCTTTCAATAGATCCAAGGTGTACTTCCTCTGAGTCACACAAATGCCTTTTGGAGATCTAGCTACCTCTAACCCGAGGAAGTATCTTAGATTTCTCAAATCTTTTACTTCAAATTTTGCTGCCAATTTCTGCTTCAACGCTGCAATCTCTTCAGGGTCATTTCCTGTCAAAACTATATCATCTACATAGACAATTAGGACAGTGATCTTATAATTAGAGCGTTTCACAAACAAAGTGTGGTCAGTTTGACATTGCCTATAACCAAACTCCTTAACAGCCCTTGTGAATTTTTCAAACCAAGCCCTTGGTGATTGTTTTAACCCATATAAAGATTTGTGTAGTTTACATACCTTTCCACGGGTTCCAGGACCTTCTAATCCTAGGGGTATTTGCATGTATACCCCCTCCTCTAAGTCTCCATTTAAAAAGGCGTTTTTAATGTCTAATTGATGTAAGGGCCAGTCCAGATTGGCAGCCAAAGAGAGAAGAATATTTATAGTATTAAATTTGGCTACCGGAGCAAAAGTCTCTTGGTAGTCTATGCCATAGGTTTGAGTAAACCCTTTTGCAACTAATCTTGCCTTATACTTGTTGATGCTACCATCAGGATTAAACTTCTTTGTAAAACCCATTTACTCCCAACAACAGATTTCCCAGGGGGTAAATTAACTATTTCCCATGTTTGGTTCTTGACTAGAGCCTTTAATTCATCATTAATAGCTGCTTTCCAGTTAGGGTTTGAACTAGCCTCATTAAAAGACTTTGGGATTTCCTCATTATCAAGATTAACCACAAACGCTTTAAATTGAGAGTTAAGCTTATCATAGGAGACATACCTCCCAATAGGGTGTCTAGTGCAACTCCTTTTGCCTTTTCTCAAAGCAATGGGCCACTGTAGATCTTCAGGATTAATCTCAGGATAAGATTCATGACTCTGCCTTGGAATGTTAATGGGTTCTTCTTTGGTTGTTGGCTGTTCTGTTGTGTTCACCTCTGTCTCTGTGGTATGTGACTGCTGGTTTGTCTCTTGGGGGGCTTCAGGTATAGGTTCAGTGTTATTGGGCACTTCTAGAATTGTTTCAGGTCTGTTGGGTGCCATGTCAGGGGTGTGTGGTGTTTTTTCTGGTGTTGTGACAGTTGTTGCAGGGTCACTGGACGGTGTAATAAGGTCAGGTTCAAAAATAGGTGTCTCTATAGGGGCTGCTGGTGATGCTAGGGTACCATTACTGTTTTGATTTCTTTGCTGTTCAGGTTGTGTGTCACTAGTATAGTTACTATCAGGACAAGTTAGCCATTCATTAGCTCTCTCCCCCTGAATGGGTAATTTGGGGTAAAAGGGTTGTGATTCCATAAATTGAACATTCATGGTGACATAGACACGTCTAGTGGTAGGAGAATAGCACTTGTAACCTTTTTGGGAGGAAGAGTAACCTAGAAAAATACATTTAAGAGCTCGAGTATCTAATTTGCCACCATCTTCATTGAACACAAAAGCTGTGCAACCAAAAACACTTTTAGGGAGATGGTTGAGGAGGTAGGAATTGGGATAGGTTTCTAAAAATTTATCAATTGGGGTTTGAAACTTTAGTACTTTGGAGGGCAGCCGATTGATTAAATAGGTGGCAGTGAGAACTGCATCACCCCAATAAATATTGGGAGCATTACTCCCAATTAAAAGTGAGCGAGCAACTTCTAAGAGGTGCCTATTCTTCCGCTCAGCTATCCTATTTTGCTGTGGTGTGTATGTGCAAGAAGTTTGATGATGAATCCCTTTTTCAATAAGAAAATCTTTAAATTTTGTATTCACATACTCCTTTCCATTATCACTTTGAAAAACTTTTATAGAAACATTAAATTGAGTTTGAATAAAGGCGTGAAAGTGCTAAACAGTGGAAAAACTTCTGATTTGTCTTTCATTAAAAAGAGCCATGTGAGGCGTGTATGGTCATCTATGAAGGTAACAAACCACTTGGCCTTGGAGTTAGTTTCGATTCTAGAGGGTCCCCAAACATCACTATGAATGAGTGTAAAGGGAGTAGTAGGAGTATAGGGGTTCGCTGGATAGGAATTTCGTGTCTGTTTAGCAAAGTGACAGGTGTCACACTGAATTTGAGAAGGAGATATTTTATTCATGAAATTGGGAAACAGGATTTTCATATAATCAAAGTTAGGATGGCCTAAACGGTAATGCCATAACATTATTTCATCACGGGACATAGCAGCATTGTTTGGAGTCACATGAATAGCAGAAGTAGCAGTAGCTAGGGGGCTTTTATTTTTCAGGTTCCCTTCAAGGTAGTACAGCCCATTACATTCTTTAGCTTTGCCAATTAGCTTGCCCAAGACTAAATCCTGAAAGACACAATGAGATTTATTAAAACCAACTAGGCAGTTTAATTTATCAGCTATGCACTGTACTGACAGTAGGTTGCAGTGTATATCAGGCACATAAAGTACATCATGAAGAATGATATCAGTAGATAGAATTACAGTGCCAGATCCCATAACCTTTGCATATTCATTGTTTGCTACCTGCACACGGGAATGCTGTGAATATGAACTAAACACAGAAAATAGTTCTTTAAATCCAGAAACATGATTAGTAGCTCCAAAATCGACCACCCAGATATTTTTTGAATTAGTAACTGTTCTAAGTGCAGTTAGAAGTTCTGTACCTGTATGAGCTAAGGAAACAGTTGGCGTATCCTCACTTAGCTTTTCATGGGAGTATTTGTCAAGGATTTTCCTCAATATTGCAAGCTCCTCATGCTTTAGGATTTCACTTTCATTGGGGGTGTTACTAGTTAGAAGTCCTTTACCTTCTCCCTTAGGCCGTGGCTTCCAATTGGCTGGCTTGCCATGGATCTTCCAGCATGTGTCACGGGTGTGGCCATTTTTGTTGCAATGGTCACACCTTAGGGACTTCTTTCCCCTTGTGTCTCCACCTTGGTTGCTTCTAGTCACCATGGCCGAGCCTTCAGTTATGGTTGATGGGGAAACCAAAGATGGATTTTGAACCAGTGCTTTCCGGCTCTCTTCATTCTTAATCATATTGAAGGCATCTTCCAGTGATGGAAGGGGCTTAATGCTCATTATTCTTCCCCTGATATCTTCAAAAGAATCGTTAAGGCCAAGAAGAAAATCATAACATCGGTCTCGGTCTATTACCTGTTTGAAGTAGACTTCATCTGTATGGCAGGACCATTTGTGTACTTCATAGAGATCTATTTGCAGCCACAGTCGCACCAGGGCACTGTAGTACTGGGTGACAGACTTCTCCCCTTGAGTGAGGTTGCGTAGCATGCGTTTGAGTTGGAAAATAGCTGCTGTATTTTCCTTAACAGAGTATGTCTGCCTTGCTGATTCCCATATTTCTCGTGCGGAACTAGCAAGTAGGTAGTTTTTGCTAATTTCAGGAAGCATGGAATGAACAAGCCACGTCATTACGGTGTTGTTTTCTGCACACCATGTTTCATACTGTGGGTCCTCGGTTTTTGGTGGCTGAGGGTTCCAAATAAGGTATTTTTCCTTGTTTCTTCCACGCACAAACATGAGAATATTTCTGGACCACTGGAGGTAGTTGTTGCCATTGAGGCGGTGGGATATAATCAGTTGGGACAAGGAATCTGGTCCAGATCCATTTGGTGCGCCTGAACTAGTTGACCGCATCTCTTCTGACTCGGTCATATTCTGGGGTGCAGTTGTCACTGAGGTGGACTCACCCTCAGCTGTAAAAGCTCTGGAATTTCGTGTCAGAGCTTCTTTGAAAGACATGAGTGGTAGCGCTCTGATACCATGAGAGTTTGTGTGCAGAAAAGCTGTATTTTATTCCACAGATTTGTGCGATACATATAGGGAGAGGAGTGATTCAGCATATCGCATGAAATCCTCCAGATTTAATAAGGAAGCAAAACAGGAAATAAATATATTCTGTAATCCCTAATTTAGCGCCTAAGGATCAGGTCTTTAACGGTTAGTAAATCAGTATACATAGCTGTAATGATTCTTGGTTTAATAGGATGATTGTGCCTCTCCCTAGGGCCCATTTCCGACAGGTCCCTATATTTAAACTCAAACCAAGTCCTTATGAAACTATGAGGACCAAAACCAATTGTTGGAAACTACAGGGACTGAAATCAAAATTTAATCGAACTGTAAGAACCAATAATATTGTTAGCCCATATTATCGTGTTTCTAGTACCAATAGGACGAGTGCTAGCATGAGCAGCATGTATTATGATGTCTCTTGCTGTTAGGTCAGAATCTTGTGAATTTTTCAAAGTCGTCTCTCTATCTCTCAGTAATCATCAGCTTTTATTGGGACCTTGTGTGGCTCAAGCTTGTTTACAATGTCCTCTTATTAGATGACTCTCTTATTTGCAGATTCTTTGATGCATAGAGCTGCCTTTGCAGAAATGTTGTACAATTTGGATCCCACCAGGAAGTCAGAGGCTGTGAAGTTGATTGAAGACTCGACCAATGATCTAGCACCAAGGTACTGCCTTTTTATTTCTCTACTGTTTTCTTTTGCCCTCTAAATCTATGTAATTCTATTTTATGAAGCTTGCAATAATTTCCCCTGCACAGAAACGTAGCCCTGGGACCAGTCAAGGAGTGGAAACTTACAGACTGTGTTGCAGTTCATAAACTTCTGGGGTCTGTCCTTGATGAGCAGGATGCTGCATCGAGTGAGTATAAAATGTTCACCTAATTTAGAGGTTTTGCTTTTGCTAAACATTCAAATGAATAATGCACCTAAATACCTATATTTGGTGTCGCCAGACTTGAAGTGGCACCTTTGTGGGTGAACGGGGTCACAGACCAAGTTCATGTCCAAGGATAATAACTGAATTTTATTTTTTTTTGTCCAAATTGTTGAGAGATTTAATGCGGTAATTATAAAATTTCCTTACCTTGTTTTGAGCTGTTTCTCTGTTTTCATTTTCTCGTCTCTGTAGCTATTGCTGCGTACCTTGTAATGTTGCATAACAAAAACTTTTGCTTATCTTGGTACTCTTATTAGATAATTAAGCTTTTTCTCTGTTTTCATTGCTCTAGAAGTAGGAATTATCTTTTTTAGTATTACAGTGTAGAGAATGAACATATAGGGAGGAAAGAAAAGCTAGAAGCCTGTTGGTGATATAATTTCATGATAGATTTTTATGTATCAATGGGAAATGATATAATTTGCTTCTGGTACTAAAGATTTGTGCTCCCACTCGCAGGATGGAAAGCACGTTGTGCCAAGTATTTTCCCTATTCTACATTCTTTGAGGGCAGCCATAGCTCTGCCTCTCCTAACTCAGTCTTGAATCAGATATGTAAGAATGCTGAGAATGGGAGTCCTAACCATTCAGTGGGTGCTCAAAATGCAAACTCCATTACCTCAAATGGCAATTTAGAGGCATTTAGTAAACTCGCCATTTGACACAGTTGAATACATAGATTGGAGCAAACAGAGTCGCTTGTCACTTGGTTGGTCATGGAAACCAGGCTAGTTTTGACATTTCTCTAAGTAGACCAAGTTGCAATTTGCAACTAGAGGTCATTCTGAGTTTTGGAGCAAGCCATGGCAAGTTCTGCGAGCAAGTCACTCAATTCTCTGAAAGTTGTCTTTTGCAAATGTGTATAATTTTGCGTCAATTACGTTCAGGTTGAATTTTTCATTTCACCCCATTTTCCTGAGACATACAGGGCTCCGAGGATTTGCACCGTCGTCCAATCTTGTCGTTTAACTTGTGGGGAGGGCTACAGGAATTTCTTTCTGGTTTCTGGTTTTGGATCCGGCCAACAGCACATATATATACCAAGAGCCTGTTGTACTAAGCCTATTTTGTTGGCTCATTCAATCATGTATAAACAATGACTGAAAATTTTGCATCAAAATCTACTTTTTTGACTGAGCTTTAGCTTCTAATGAATTTTAGTCGAGTTTTTTTTTTGGCCCTTTTGCAGTTGTGTTGTAGTTATCTGTCGGGAACTACTGTGAGGGAATTGATTGATAAATGACTTTAATAAACACCCATTGAGAAGATTTGTATTGCGCAGAGCTTTTTGCTACTTCGCGCGCCTAGCTAAATTCTCCTTCAGAAATTCCAAAGCCTACTTATGCTGTTGTTCGCTATTAAAGGATCAAATATAGGCGATTTTGTTGTCAATCTGTTATCCATTAGATATCTCGTAGCTTAGTGCTTGATTATACACATGGCTACAGTGGTTTTTACAATATCACAAGTCATATGGATCAATTGGCATCATCCTTGTCATGAAGCGAAATTTAGCAGATATATTTTAAATCACCCACCGAAGTAGGAGTACTTTTTGCACTTGATTTATTTAGGGACTCCGCTCCTCTATGAACCCACTTGAGATTTGTGGTGTTCCTTAATCTCTCTCTGAAAGCGGAGAAAATTAAATATTGCCAGCAGAGAATTGTGGGGATGATTGCCAAATGCAGAAACCCTTCAAAGGCTTTAAGTTCAATGGAAATAAGCATTTCCATTAAAATCGTTACATATATACATACGAAGAAACAGTAACTGAATCAGATCAGAAAGGTGACATGCAGCCTATTTTTACAGAACAATATTTCCCAAGAATGTCAAAACAGAGGGAAACCAGCGCAAGGAGGTAGGTGAAGCACATTCTTAACCTTCCATACGTGAATAAGAAAACATCATATGCTCGTGGAACATAACCATCAAAACGTCTATCTTCAGCTCTCACGTTACATATACATCACTCCGAAAAGCATAAAGTAGCAAACTCCAAATGCTCGACGCAAACGCTTTTTTTTTTCTCCCCCGAGTAAAGGGGTTTGATGAAAACCTTTAAAGCTCCAACTTCAGCTACCCAGCCTTGCAGACAACTTTTGGACCTCAGACACACATCCTCACCTAAACCGAACTGGAGTCCCCAGCTGAAGGAGACCCTCCACTAATCTTGCCAGCATCACTTTTACAAAGAGGACACGATGCGTTTATCTTCAACCATTTGTCAACACACGCTACGTGGAAGAAATGAAGACAGGGCAACTCTCTAAGATCATCATTGTCTGCATATTTCGCCAAGCAAATGCAACAAACCTGGAGCGAACATGAGAAGTCACATAAAAACCTATGATAAATTTTGCACAAAAATATATCCAAATTTATATTTATACACAAGGCATTCCCCACATTATGGCAGCATGTCAATCAATAGGCCCCGGATTGCCAGGCTGAAACGAATTTTGATGGAATGAGAACAGGAAAAGGAACGGGATTGGGAACAAGGAAGAGAATGGGAATGTGAACTCTAAAAGCACGTTTGGTATGCAAGGGGAAAAAAATCAATGGAATTTTGACATAATTTTTGTTCAGTATATTTTAGTGATAAAATGGGAGTTTTAAAAACGAGGAGACTTAAATACCATCATTATACGATAAACTTTTATCTCATAAAACAAATGACAGAATAAGAGAAATAGGAAAAGGAACAGAAAATGCTTAGGAGCTATGCAAAGTGAGCCAACAAGTGGAAAGGAGGAGGAAGGTATGGGCAATGGGGAACAAAAAACAAGCAGGTTTATCTTGGAGATGGAGGAGGCACAGCGCAGGTGATGATGGTGAATGAGAAGGGGCAATGTTAGAGGTGGAGCAGATTTCTGATGAAAGCACAATAAAGGCATGAATAGTGGTGGCCGATCTTGAAAATTTTTATACAAGGGCAATTCCATAAAAATAAATTGGCTTCCAAGAAGACAAAATTCCAGTACCCCTCTCAAGAAACCAGATTCTATCATCTAAGGGAATTTTTGGTTTCCTGGGAACGGTGCTTCCCAGACAGCAAACAAGGTAATCTTCACCTCTCCTCCTCCCTTTCCCAAGCCCAAAACCCATCAAACCAAACAGGCTCTAAGGTTGCTAACTTGCTAGAGATGTAAAGCCCTGTCCTTAAGTACCAGAATTTAGGTTCTTCTCATTGATTATTTTCTCTCCTTCACAACATAAACAAAATATAAACTTACAGCATCTTCTCCAGATATGGCCCGCTCCTTTTCTGTCCCCGCAGCAAAGATGCCACCTTCGTCTATAGCTGTGTTGACATCCTGATTGTCACTATTTTCAGTTTTCTTCAATTTGAACTTGTAAATTGGCAGGGCATTGATAGACTCTACTGTTGCACCTCTAGTTTGAGAAAAATCCTCCCGAATGCCTAGAACAGAAATAATGCAAGGTAGGCAGCAACAAATAGTTGCACAAAGGATAAATGGCATAGCATAGCCAATGCAGCTAAAGGTAAGAAACACAATACATAACCTGCAAAGAGGCCCATAATAATTGAAGATATCAGATATTGAAACATTAGTGCAATTGTACAAAGTATTGTCTTAAAGTACCTATACAATTTTGGAGCATCCGAAGGAGAAGAGTGGCCTCCAAAGATCCACACGTTGCCCAAAACAAACCAAACTGCAAAGAAGCAATCTAAGGCCATTTTGAAATGATCTACTAATCCATTAAGCCTGCAATGTAGCAGCAAATTACAATAAAATCACATGGGATAAAGGCTTTTGTATTAGCTTGCATTTAGCATTCAATCAAGAGGAAATACTGTATATTCAAGAAGCACATAAGACAGACAAGGGCTTTGGTAGAGGTGCCTGATCATAACGGTTTTCATATGGTCCTAGGCTTCAACATGGACAGAAGTGACCAACAACTTGTTGTCACTAAGCTTTCTTAGCGGAATTAACCAGTACTTATGCTTGAAGCTGACCACACGAATCAGTTAAATATCAGGAAACTTAGTTCAATTCATCCGGTTTGAGCTCATCATTCATATTATCAAATCTGAATTATAGCATAGCTGATCACTTTGGGCTCATCAGTGTTGTAAAAAGATGGCAAAAAATGGACTAATAAGAGCTTTTTACTCTGTTGTAACACCAGCAAAATACGAACTATATTACATACCAAAATTTACAACATAATCAACCTAAATTCTATTATTATGTTCGCCAAATAATATATTATTAAGATAAAATACGTCACAACATGGCAGGAACATTTAACTACGGAAACTAAACAATATAAAAGAGGAGGGAACAAGATATCCTCCTTCACAAAAGCACATTAAAGAACTAGAAACCAAAAATAAACCCCAAAGTTAGAAACATGAATTGATACATCAATAACAAAAGGGATGAGCTCCACAGCTGCTAACATAAAAATTGGCATACCTAGAAAAAAATGCTCCAGGAATCCTAGTGCTTCTAGCAGCTGATTCTGTCACATGACCATTCTCCTCATCTGAAACATGAGCATTGGAGATAGCTGTGTATGACGTAGGCAATGGATGATCACTTCCAGAAGATCCTTGAGATTGTTGAGGTGTATCTTGTTCACTACTTTGATTATGGCTTCGATAACGCCAATATAGAATAGGCAGCATGGCAACACAACCAGATGTATAACCCACAATCCATGCAAATAATGGGGCTTGTGGATTTTCATTCCTTGACAATGACAAGACAACTATAGATGCTATGATCTGACCCACAGTGGCCACAAGCTCAACTGAAATCCATAGTCCAGAATTTAAAGGGTTCCTTCTTCGATGACGATATCCCTCGCCTCTAGTTGAAGAATTTCTGGAGTTTAATCTAGATGAGGAAGATGTTTGATTAGTAGGGTCTCGTGTACCACTGGACTGTTGATCTTCATTCTGCGTTAAATGTATTTCAGGAAGTCGAGCAACATGAGATGAGTTGGATAAAGCATCACCATTCCTTGTGATGTCAATTATGTGCTGATGGTGGCTCTCAGACTGCTCCATCAGCAAAGGATATCTGTCGGTTTGGGAGTTTCTATTTGGTTCTGGAGAGGTAACATCCATCTAAATCAGTCAACCAAAGTAAAAGGCAATAAGGCATAGATTGGTAGTAACAAGGTCTCCGACCTGCACCTTCTCCTATTTTGCTTCGTGATCATCTATAATTCTGCTCTAATATGCTGAATGATGTATACCAAGATGCCAAGCAGCACTTTGTGTGCACTTAATGATTAACCTTTTATTATCCTGTTCAGGAAACCATAAAGATAACCAAAATTTTATATATTAAAATTCCATTACCGGTGAGAAACTGATTCCAACAACTAGCAATATCTTCAAACTAGGAATGCAACAGAAAATAAATGTTACTCTTCATTTTGCATTGAAGCCATAAAATTGATCAGATTGTTGTTAATACCAACTAACGAAAATGCTTATGGAACTGTGTGACCAAAAAAACAATTGAAAAAAAAACAGTAGCAGCTGTACGATTGCCACAACCTCATGACAATAATTCGTTTTCGATGTTACAACACGAAGATCTTGTTCCGGTATCAAGGGAATTTCAAACAAGTAGGGAGGAGGAAAAGTAAGGTTGGAGTGTTATAGACGACTTAATAAAATTAAAAAGGAAGTCACGTAATCAACATAACCTAAATTCATAACTTGGAAGAACTCAATATCACCGATTAAACTAGCATAAACATGACATTAAGAAGCAAATCTTCTTGCTTCTAGAAGGACAGTGACTTGGAGAAAACAAAAAAGTATCAAATTAACAGAAACATACTCAATCAGAAATTAAGTTCACCAGATAACACGAATTTCAAGGCGTAGATTCAACATTTCATCTATCTCCCTCGGGCAATACAGTGATCAAAATTCATCAACCAACTGACACCCCAAAACCGATTAAACACCAAAGAAACTGCCCAGACTGGACAGGAAAACAGTTCGAAGATCAAAAACCATGAAACCCCCATACATCCAAGGCAAAAATTATCCACTTTATTTTACCACAAGTAAATAGAGACATTTATCATGAAGGAGAAAATCTGAACCTGATTGAGCTGAATAAATTAGCCATGAAAACAGAGGGAAGGATGTGTGAAGAGAAGTGTAGAATACTTCGAAGCTCAACTCTGCTTCATTTTCTTCCAAAAAAAAATTATTTCTCACAGACAAGCAGAATTGAACGTCAGCAGTTTTCTGCTTTTATCGCTTACGCCAAAGCGTCTGAGAGAGAGAGCGACGGACACTGTGTTGGGTCGTTGACGTTGAAGATTTCCCACCGTTAGATGTGTGGAAAGTTCCACATCGTGTCCCAATAATCGATCTCGCAATTAACAGTAACATGTCGCATTCTCGCGAAGCACTTTTGGTAACTTCCTCCACATATTTACTTCGTAATCCGTAAAAGCACTTCTGAAACCATGGTTTGGTTTCTATCCAAACACCCCCTAGAAAGACGTGACCATTTTTCCTCTTATAAATTTTCAAAAATATTTTTTGTGACTGAGTTATTTTATTTGAATACATTTTAATATATTCAGCCCCAAAAAAAATACATTTTGATATATAGTTTAGCAGTGTTGGCATAAATTAAGAGGGCAAAAAATTGCATCACACCCTTATATTTGAGAAAATTGTTGAAAAATCTCCTGCTACAAAATTTAATGTTCTTTATTAAGAAATTAAATACAAACTATTTTCAGAGTTGCATACACTACGTAGCAACAAATTTTGTAAGAGATTTTTAAACAATTTTTCCTTATATTTTGAAGAGTGTATTTTTCATTATTTTATCTAAATGATTATGGTACGAGAATAAATTATAATCCCAAATCTCAGATCTCGACTCTGCAATAATGTCAGCCACTCGTATTAATAAATGTGGATCGGAATTTGTATCACATAAAATGTAAAAGATTGCAAGAAAACAGAATTTTAGTAACCAGGAATAATATAATTTAACAAATATGAATAAAGATTTACTTCTGGACGAATTTGCAAGTTTGTTTTCATGTAAAATTTTAGTAAGCACCAGGCCACGCGGGAAAATCTCAGGACGCAAAACTACTTCACATGTATATCTTTTCTATAAATATACGTGGAAGATCATAGGTTTAATCTCGTCTTGTAATCTCTACTAACAAGTTCATCATATCAACAGTGAGATTCAAACTCAAAATTCTGTAGGTTATGAACCAATTCTGGATAGTTGGTTAATTTTTTTTTTTCCCTTTTAAAGAAATAGTTGTTTGCCCACAATGCTTTTTTTTTTTGTCAAAGTATAGGTATCTTCCTATTAGAGACAATTCTATTTGAGACATTGTTGAATTTGAACCTTAATTCGTCACGTTGTGAGGGACTGACCTGCTAACCCAACTCCTGTTGGTCCCACAATGCTTTTTATACTGTATGATTGATGATGAATGGGTGCATATGGATTTCCTGGCCCATATAGACTGATAATGGGCCACACAGTGTGTAAGTAATGGGCCTGTCGAATGTAAAGCGGGTTTTAACAGCAACATGATGAGGCCCAAATTCGGAAGGGAAAAGTGGGCCACAACTAAGTGGGGAATGATGGGCCATACTCCATAAGATAAAATTAGGAGGAAGTGAAGAATTTGGGAACACGTCACACTCGTGTTTGTAGCCTCAACCAGAGCATCCGAGGAAGCCTTCTCATAATAATAGTCACACATCACCACAAAACCATGTTAACGTTATCACAAGCGTGGGACCTAAAGTTCGTGTATTTATTGATGCCCTCAATTATGAAGTATTATTACATTAGTACCGTTCAATACAGAGTCATTAGGTCAAATATTCAGTGTGACCATTTTTTAAAGAAAGAAATAAATATATTTGCAACATACTTATGTTAACATGTTGAACTGAATATCTATGAATATTAGCTAGTTTGATACAGTAACCACATTTTATATTCAATGTCTCCAATCTCCACCTTAACGTATCTTTGAGTTTTATAGCTTTTTTTTTTTTTTAACATAGGTAACTTCTAATCTCCATGTTAACGTACCTTTGAGTTTTATACCCCGTTAATAGTTTTATACTCCTCCAGCCTCTCTTTTGTAGTGCAAATTACACTACAAAAAGAGTCTTATATCTAAGATCATAGGAGTAGCATTTAATTGGACGGGGTTTGTGGAACCACTAAAGCCCATGTTATTGAGTCTGGGCTTGATGGGTCTGATGACAAGCCCATCATACGGCCCATTAATGTTTTGAGAATTCGAATCAGATTTTTTTTACTGATTTTGTATTTGAACAAAATGGAAATACCCTCTCTTGGTAACATGGTTTACAACTTGGGGACTCTCTTTGTAATAACTACTCTATTACATTTTGAAAATTTTTTACTAAAAAAAATGAGTTCCAAATCTTATTTCAAATATTTATAAATACAAGATTCTCAATTATAAATTATTGAAAGTCACTTATCATGAGGCTCAAATTTTTATTTTGCAACTGCATGAATCAATAAACTTGTTCCATATCTTAAATTTCTTTCATGCCCATCCTATCTCAAAACATCCCTAAACAACAATATCAGTGTTTTTGAAATGTTACACAAATTTTTTGATAAAATAAAAACTTTCTAACTAATTTCAACTCCATATGCCTTAATCCATGTTATTCAACTAAAAGTATCTTATAAAAAAGATTAAAGGGGTACTAAATTCTACTTTCAATCCTTAATATAAGAGTTACCTGAGATTAGATCCCAATTTATTTTATCTCTCAAATTTATAATTCTTTTTTCAAAATATTCTTATTGATTGTATATTAATAAGAAGCTTCCCACCAACTGGTAATTTCAATACACATTTGTGACAAAGGACTAATTTAACTAATTTTTTTACTAACTGGGGTAGTATTACTCAATTAATCCTTGTAAGATGGACTTAAAACTATCATTAACTCTTGAACAACAACAACAACAATAATAGTTCTTGATGAGGCACTAGTCCCAAAAAATGATTAATGCATCAACATAAACTCTAATTATAGAAAGAGATGAGCTAATTGTTGGAAATTGTGCCCTAGAGACCAATCATTGTGTTATGAACATTGTTGATTTATGAATTTCTTAATTATATTATCATATTATTTGCATGTTTACTGTGATGACTATCCATGGATAACTCATGATTTTATCCTAAATGTCCCTGGTCGGTCATCTATGTGGGAGCAGAGATGAAATAAGACCAGTATGACTTTGAAGATGTATAGATATATAAATCAAAGTCATAGGCACATGTAAAAGTACAAGGTGTTGGACCGACCCGCTATGAGAGAGCTGCATGGGTTAAGTCATAAGCTTCTCTCATATACAAACCATGTCACTATGCCCTTTGACCTGAGATCATCATGGATTCTTACATGAGAAACACTCAGCTTTGACCTAGTCAAAAGTCACTTTTGACCGAGTGATCATAAAGACTATGTTCAGGTTTAGTGGTTTTTCATATGGAGGAATGTGAATGGTCAAGGTGGAATTTGTCCTTACATTTGTAGAGAGATATTACTGGGCTCCTCGATGAGTGAGTCTGAGAAATGTATGGCCATACTATAATGGAAAGGTAGTTCCATTTCTATACTCAGACTACTCAGGGATCGAGAAAGTAACGGTCAGTAATAGGAGGATGACACTCTCCATGCCTCATCCATGACCAAAATGTCGCGTGATAAAAGGGACGTGATATGGTTGTATGAAAGGTTACATCGTTCATCGATCCTCATATGATTTGGGTAGTCGTGATGTCTTGTTAAAGACCGCTTACGACTTGTGAGTCATTATAGTAAATGGCCCACTGTCAACTTCATATGGGCCTACAGGGTCGCACACAAAATAGCCCAACACGAGCTATGATGTCCAGATTCATTGAATCTAAGATATGTCCAGATTCAATGAATAATCTAAGGTAGACGTATATATATATATAAATTCGCGTATCTATATATTATATGATATAAGATATATTTATAAGATTTGATTTATAAGGATAAATTAAATCTATATCATTTTAAATTGGTAAGGTATAATATAATATCTCAAATTTGATTTATTAGAATAAATCAAATATAATTCCGTCATATCTTTATTTTGAATTAAATAAATAGGTGAATTAAATCTGTAGGATGGATTTAATATATAAACCGTATTTATTTAATTGATTTCTTATCAGATTACGCAATATGTGATATTGTATTAATTTCGGAACTAATTTAGGATTAATTCCGAAATCCAATGTCCTTCATAATACCGATAGCATCCTATATATTTGATATGAGGAGCTAGGGTTTTGTGTGTGTGAGAGTGCAAAAGGTTTGCAGATAAGAAACGGCCAAAATAGAGACGGTGAGGACGGAATCTCGAACGTCGGAATCCCCGAGCCACCAACGATTCGAATACCACAGATAACACCTCTTACTACTTGACTTAAACACAATCGGTAGATTCGGGCAACGGATTGAAAATTTTAAAGTTATTTTCCGCTGCGTGTCTTTCAATTCCTTACACTAATGAGGGCGAATCTTTGACAATGTAAATGAGTGGTTGAGAGAAAAGAGTGATGAATGTGATATATGTATGTATGTATGTGTGTGTGTGTGTGTATGTATGTATGGGAGAGACAACGTTGAAGATCACGTGTGAGTGTGTGTGGGTCTTGCACGTATATATGGTGTGGATCCATGTCTCTTCCTCAGGAAACATATGCTCGGTTGGCAAGCAACATTTTCTTCCCTTAACTACCTAATCTATGGTCTTGTGACTATGTATTTGGTATTAACTTACTAGTTGTCATACTAGATTCAAGTATTATCAGGTCTAAACTGTTAATACTACATAAAAATATTTTTTTGGGTTAATATCATTGTTAGTTTTATAGTTTGATTTAATTTTAGTTTTGATCTTTATAGTTTTATGATTTTTTTTAGTTTGAGTTTAATTAACGAGTGGTCTCTATATTTTTAGCAGATTTTGATTTTGATCTCTATACTTAAACTCAAACTCAATCCCTATGAAACTATAGGGACTACAAAGCCAATGATTTGAAACTACTACCTTTGGTTTTTAATATAAGACTTTGTTTGACTTTTATTTTGGTCCTAAATATAAGATCCCAATCCACT